AAATAAGCTAACAATTAAACAACCTGTCATTTCTATTTATACATTTCTCCCTCCTGCATAAAAATTAACATCAGCCTCGGCAGTCTTATTAAAATAACTCAAATTACAAACCTTGTACACAGAAGTATGTAAAATAATTCAGACATTGGGGAAAATAAAAATGGCTTTATTCTGTAACTACCCATCACAAAATGTTAATTCGGTTAACATAGCACTTTAAACAGCATCTTAATGCATGCCATAGTGTAAAACGCTCAAGAAAAGAAATTGAAATTATTCACAAAAAGTGCTTCCAAATGATATACAATTGTATTAAATTGTTCATAGGATGCAGACAAAGTTGAAACAGAACTGAAGATGGGTAAGGTCTATTATAAACACATTAAAAAAACTAAGATACAGGTAATGGACAAAAAGAGGGAAACGCTAAAGTCACTGTATGGGACACTGGGCCACCACATGACACCTGTACAGCCTGGATGTGCCATCACAGTTTATGAACATCTCGCTTTCTGCAGAAGGGATGTGGCACCATTCTTCTACAAGAAGGTCAAATCAAGACACCTGCGTGATGGAGGCTTAACACATTGTACTTGGACGCCATCCCAGAATACCTCATGCTTCTTGCGAACTTTGTGAAAGTACTGCAAGTTGCCACATAGTCACAAACCCATGGTCCAGAGTGAGAGTTCCCACAAAGTGCGATGTGATTGTGATCTTTCTGCTAACTAGTCACTGTAATGACTAATGTAAATGTGATGAACAAGCGAATAAGTACAGGTTGTGCAGCAGACATTTCACCACAGAAAGTTTCCCACGTGATCTGCATGCAGAGTTAACATGTAGTAATCATCAGCAAAACAGTCTTAAAATCAAGAGCAAGATTTCTATTAGATTAAAAGAGATGTATTCACAAGCTTGCTTGTTTACAATGTAACAATGCCGGAAGTTTTGTTCCCAGATTTTGAATCGCAGAATATTGCCCTGCACATACCTCAGAATTTCATCTATTTTATGATGTACATTAGTTACAAGATAACCATTTTACTTTCATGGTGGTTTGAAATGCTGATTCTTTCCATCCCCAAAACATAAAAACAGTATTGCAATTCACTTTAACCTGTGTGGAAGCCTGTGCTTTCAATAAACTTGGGTGCCCTTCATTTGTCCTTGGGTGCCCATTTTTTTTTCATCTTTTATTAAAGAAAACACTTTACAAAGTAAAAAAAACTAGAAGGCTTTTTTCTTCTGCATCACAGTCAGCTAGCATACAGAACACTGTTCATTGTTAATTACAAATTACATTTTTTATTCCACTTTAAGCATTCCTAGTGGAATAGACATATTGTAATACTTGTAAGCATTATTAACTTGGCCTAGAACCAAGACTAAAACGTTCCAGAAAGAATGCAGTACACTTAGTCCAAAGTGAAAAGTGTTGCAGTTCTGTGCTACATAAAACAAGCTTTAAAAGCCTAACCATAAAAGGAACATTGACGAAGGACTTCAATACGCCTTTAGAAAGCCAGTATTTGGTTTACTTAAATATTGTTTTCACCAAGATAAAAGAGCTTGATAAAAAAAAAAATGAATACACAATCCGTGAAGCAGGCCAAGAAAAACAGGGTTGATATTACAAATCTAGATTGATATAAATGTTGAATTTTCAAAAGACTTCCGCTCAACCCTACACGTGACTGCAATTTGTCCAAAAAATTGTTGCATGCTAAAAGTATTCCATACAATGAATTCTTAAAGTGTGAACTTTCACTCCCCCCCATCCATCTTCAGTTTTTACACATTTCCCATATACAAGAAAGCACTACTTTAAATGAATTTCAAGATTAAATTCATGAACTCCTACTACCAACAAGACATTTGTGTAATGACAAATTAAACAGATGGTGAATACCTGGATTTTTTAACAGAAAAATAGATGTAACCAAATGCAAAGAGTAAAATACTCAACCACAATGATGGAATGGTGCAATGGATTGAAGTGCCAGTGTCTGCTTTTTAGGCCACTATACTTTGGATCAACAGAACGAGTATTTCCATGTCTCTTGAATTGGTTACTCTTATCTATAGTTTGCAAGTTGCTGAAAGAGCACTGATCAAGCAAGACCAAGACAGAATGGTCATCATGGGACAAGAAATAAGTAAGAGCATGCAAAATATTGAGGACCAGCTCTACAGTACTTTGTTCTAGAGCATAAACCATTTTACATTTGACTTTCAAAGAAGCAATAAAGAGGCCTGCTACATTCAAGGATTTAATTCTGCCTAAAAACAAGGAGGTAATCAGATTTGCTGAAAAACCCATAAAATGGTTTCTGGTTTCCAGGAGAGCAGCCAAACAAATCTCTTAAACTAGTGACCCAATTCTTTACACAAAACAAGATTGGGGCTGAAACTCTTCATTAAGTGATTTCATTAAAGATCAAAGAGGAATCAAACTGAAAAGATACTGAGCTACCGGTTTAAGTATTAATTTTAGCAATGCTCTCTCAGCCTTTGTTTCAAAAACCATAGGATTGTATCATAAAGAGCTCTACTCCTTGGAAACAAACATTGTCCTTACTTCACTTTGAGTCTGCCTGCATTGAGCAGTCAAGCAAAAACATTAGAGAAAGGATTTCAACACGTGTGGTTTTGAAGAATTTATAGAAACAGCCAATAACACACAAAAGTGCAATGTAGATCATATTTAGACTTTTTCCACTGGGCAACCATTTCCCCTTTAATATATCCAAGGGCATGTACCAACACCCTTCCTGTGCCGACTTTCCACTTTTAGTACATCCATTCACTTTCCATGATCAGAAAAGCCTCTTATTCCTACTAAGGGTCACAGCAACCCAAAGCCTCTCTCAGAAGCATAGGAAACTAGCAACAACTATGCCCTGGATGTGACACTGGTCTAAGATACTGTAGTGTGCATGTACATAGAAATACATGAGAATTTAGACACCTATTAACCTATTGAACATATCATTGGAAAGTACATGAAAATGCCACAGACAGGCATCCCAATCTAGAATCAAACCCAACACCCCAGAGGTGCGAGGCTTTTAAAAACATGACAGACCTGATCGGATTTTACCAAAACCTCTCAGTAGTAAGGCATTCCTTAGTAACTACAGAATACATTGTAGGACTTTAGTATTTTCAGACTGCTCCACCCCCACAACAAAAACAAAGTTCCTTTCAAAAATCAGAGGCACATTTCTGACAGATTTACAAACCTAACAAAAATAACTGATTTTTTTAGAAAACAGTACTGGGAATTATTGAGAGCATTGTATAAGTTTATTACAATATCTATGAAGCAACAGAAATGAAAGACTGTCACACAGCATCTGATGTATATTGATTAAATATAATAACTTGAGAATGAAGTTGATCATTGTTCAATAACATCAGATTTATCATGATTAATTCTAACAACTTTCTGTCCAGTTTCTGGGGATGAAAGATTGTTTAAGTACTGTGCAGCCAGAGCTGTGGAAAATTTTATCAAAAAGTATACATGTCATAATTGCATTAGGATATGTTTCTTAAATATTCTTTGTGTACTTGAGTTACATAAAAGATTTGTTCCACAACAGAAATGAGTTGCCACCAATGAGAACACACAAAACCTCCCTTATTTATTTTTAAATGATTAACTGTATTAAGACTAGGAAAACTAAATGAAAACAGGAAGAAAATAAGGCCCTAACGGGCAAACTTTTGTTAAAAACCAAGGAACAGTTTTGGAAAATTTAAACCAATTTAAGCGATGAAATTTGTTTCCATTTATTTCCCTTTACATTTCCTGCTTACAAAAAAGAAAAGCTATGGGTGGTCAGTCTGCTATGTTAAGTTGCATTTGAGCCTAAAAAACATTAAGTTAAACACATCTAGAATAACTAGAAACTCAAACATTCATGGGAAACCAAATTACAGCTGTAAATCTAAATACAGTAAATATATTTCACTATTTACACTGAGTTCATACGAATGTTGAAAGTTAACAACCTAAAAAGACGTATTACAATGTTTCTGCTGCGACTTTTAAAGAACAATACGAAAGAACCATGACCAAGTTGTCCATGTACATATATTTACTGTTACAGCATGTTATAGTACGGGTGGATCAGGTCCCGAGGTCATTACGTTGACAAACCGCAAGCCATTCTATCAAAATATAATTAAAAAAACATCTCGATAACTTTTTTTAATCGTTCATAAGTACAAAAACTACCGACATGGACCATTGTTAAAGGAATGGGTCCATTAAAATGTGATCGATACAGAACATCCAAATGCAAACCAACACTGCAGCTCCCCCCCCACATTTCCAATTTGCAAGCTTTCGGTTATTCAGCATCTGTCACGCCGTGTTTGACCTTTTGACTTTCCCTGCGCAAAGATCCTAACTATAGCCAAACCCCAAAACCCACAGCGCGGTCTCCCTGTTTTTCTTGGCTCTTTCTTCTCGCTGCTATTCACGTTTGCATCCGACTATACAAAGATTACAGCACCTAAAAACTCCCCAAACCGAAATCCCGAGCAACTACAGAATCAGATTCGCGGTGCACAGCAACGAACCGGAGCTTCAGGTTTTTACACTATAATTCGTTAGTGCAGTAATTCTACGGTAACCACATGTAATGCGATCAATTGTTTTTTTTAAATCAAGAATTCCAATATAGTCGCATAAACAAATAATCTATAACCTAAACTCTATATTCTATTTCGGTGGACTAAACAGATCTTTTAATTATCGGAGTCCCAAGACAAAGCACTGGGACGTAGACCCTATGCAAGCAGGCAAAACTGCCCTGGCAGCGATTCTATGACAAATCTATTTTACTGCAGACTCACCCCCCGCCCCCAAACCCTCGATGAACAACAACTGCAGTGTGCACGGTATTTTTCCATCACTGGTTCCTCCTATGCTGGAGCGCCACGGTACTTCTTAGACCCAAACACTATAATCATCACCCCATCCTCACCTGTACTGCGCAGCACCACCATGGGTAAATCCAAAGTAGTTGCCGGTAGCCATTTTGGCATCTTCACCTAGCCGGCTGGGCACTGCGGAGACAGAGACATGGAGGTTGAGCCTTCGTTGCTTGCCGTGTAAACCCTCGCACAATACACGGAGCAAAATAGGCACACAAACACGACAGGGAGGTCCCATTAACCGCACCATTCCTTTAAATAAACACCTTAACACTACTGTTTTACCCTTCTGAACACCAAGCGTGCATTCTTTCTCCGATTTTATTTCATTTTACTCACCATAGGTGAAGGAGACTACTGGGCATATGGGAATCATTGGGTTCCTGTTCTCTGACGAACTCTGACTCTTCACCCTTCCCAATTTATACCAGAAGGTCACACCAGGAAATGGCTAATACTGAACATGCGCAACGGCGAAAGGTGTACTGGGAGTTGTAGTTTTCGATCGCCTCGATTATGCTTGTTCTTTATTTTCAAGGTCGAATGGTCCTACACAAATAGCGATTTTTAATCGCTTGAAAAGGTTTTTCTTAAATTGTTTCAGCAGTAGATTTTTAATTAAAACATATTATGAACATTTTGTTGACAAACGTTATGTAAATCGTTCAAAATCTTTGAATGTACATCATAATTATT